TCTCACATACATGCGCAAAAGCAAAAACCCATAACACAAAACATGTAGCTCATGATCTCACGATTCCAGTGATATAAAAAACATGACCTAACTCTAAAAGACCAAGGAGAATTTTAATGGCCATAATTTTTGACCTACTTTTTTCAGCATGTTCAACAACCAAATACTCTTAGCTCAGTTAATATAAATGGAAAGTATGCATATGTACATTTTCAGCAAGTTAAGGACTACATTTTTGCTTCACAAATCTAAGCTTAAGGATGCCTAAATAAGGAGATAGAACTTTGAAAAATACCTTGTTCAGTTGAGTTTGGATATGGCAATGTGGGAACTTTGAGTGAAGCCTGAAGATCTTGTGAGCTTCCTTGAAGTTCCCTCAACCTTTTCCAATGCTTAGCTGATCTTGAGGATGCTTGAAACTCCCTGCACGAGTCAACCTGCAACCTTGCAAAATGAAAATGGTGAAGTTTGAAACAGGGCACACAGTTGCAAGACAAGGGCCTGGATAGTTTAGATGTGATGTATGGAAGATGTTTGAAGCCTTGAAACAAGAAACGCACGAGCAAAATATGATTTGGCTTGAGTTTTGCAAAAGATGCCCTGTTTGGGCAGAAACTTGGGTTTTTTGTGTTGGAGAGTGTTTTGAATATTGTGAATTCGTGTATTCTGCTTGCAATAAGTTTCTGAAGTTGTTTGAAATGAAGCCAAGCCTTGCCTTTATCAGATGGACAGGTTGTCTTGACTTTTGCAAGTTTGCTTGCTTTTGAAGAAAGTTGAAGTGACAATGCCCAAGGTGTTGTACTTGCTAGTTCTAGGACTGCAAGGAGTTGGTATGCTTTGCCTGATAACTGTGGACTTTGCTTGTGACAAAGAAACAGGTTCAATGCTCAAGGATAGCAAAGTTGTAAAAGTCTTGCTTTATCAAAATGGTATTATGAACTTTATGCCATTTTTGGATTAATTCATTGTACAATGCTCCATAGGTCAGAATAAAGCCAATATCCAATGAATTTGAATTTAATTATGGAGTGTATAAGGTATTAGGACCTGTAATACCAAGTACAAGCATGCTAGGACAGATTTGCAACTTGAACCATTGTGAAAATGCCTTGAACAAAAGTGATAAATTGCCATTTTCCTTTCTTTGATTCTCCTTAACCATAAATGATCTTGGAGAGTTCTTGGACATTTTGTAAAGCTTGTAACATGCTTTACAATATATCTATGAAATGAATTTTTAGATTCCTCTTGGAACTAGGTGAAAAATGTCCATGAAGTTAGGTCAAAATCCTGCCTAAATTAGGGCAAAATTTCACTAAGTTAAAAAGTTTATGAACCTCTATTCATAAAATCATAACTTGAGATCCAAGCATATTTTGGAAAAACTTTGTGAATAAAAGTTTTATATTTCATGGAGGACTATAAATTTCATGTTGGATGTTTTCTTTGAATCCAATTGCATCATGGTGAAAAAGTTGTGGAAAGTTGGGAAAAAATAAGAAATTTCCATAACTTAGAAAAATTCTAAGTTATGAAAAATTTCAAATTAAAACCCTAATTTTCAAAATTGATTTTCTTGATCAACAAGTTTCATATTTTGACATATCTTGATGAATTATGACCCTTGGCACTTGATTTTGACCAAAAAGTCAAAGTTTGACTTGTCAGTGTACAGTTGACTTTTGATCAGTTGACTGCAAAATTCATCTGTCAATCCTATGCATTTGAGATCTTTTGAACTATGTGATTAGGTCAAGATGATGCTATTGAGTCATTGAAATCATGCTTGAACCCAATTGGTCATTGGCTAGGTTAAAAATCAGAAATTGCCCTTTCTTAGTCAAAACCCTAATTTTGACCATTTTGCCCTTTTGATGATCTGATCAAATTTCTTGAAGAGTTGTGATCCAAACTTGATCAAATGGTACATAGGAGCCTAGAATGTTGTTGTGGATCAAAAATTATGAAGTTTGACTGTAAATTGGCCATGGTTGACTTTTTCCCCAATATAGCTGATTTTTAGGTCAACTGTCCAATTGACTGGGCAAAAAAGTGATTCAAGGCTTGAAAATTGATATGAGCAATCTTAGGGGTCCAAGATGGTGTAGGAAAGTCACATGAAGCATTGATGGTCCAAAAATCCTTGTGCAAACTCAAACCCTAATTTCAGGTCATTAGTGCAAGGTGATGTCTTGAGCTGAGCAAACCCTAATCTGGTCTGGAGTCCAAGAGGTCTTGTGAGGAAAAATCTTGATAAAATGAGAGGGAAAATTTTGGGGTACAACACCCCTCTTATCGAGATGGCCCAAAGTTATTGTATCTCGGGGCACTGGGTGTTCCGTGGTTCCTGGAATCATGGGTGCTATTGGAAGCCTCCTTCTCTTCATACGTGATGTAGACCCGAGCTTTATGGAGCAGTTCGTCCAATGATTTAGGAGGCTCGATGCCGACTATCTTGTTGAAGTCTCTGCCCGGGAGAAGTCCCCTCTTGAGCAGGGGCCTCTTCATGCGGTCGGTAGTGGGGACTTGGATGGCCTCGTGGTTGAACCGCTCTATGTATGCTCAGAGAGGTTCATCGTTCCCCTGGATGATTTCCTCGAGGGACTCCTTAGCCTTGGGGTGTCTTCGAGAGGCTATGAAGTTTCTAGCGAACTGGATCTTCAGGCTCTTCCACAAATTGATGGACTTGGGGGCGAGACTTTTGTACCAGTCCATGGTAGTTTTCCTCAGAGTTATAGGGAATAACCCACACTTGATGGCACCCCCTACGTTGTGGAAGTGAAACATTTCCCCGAAGCTCTCGATGTGTTCGTCAGGATTAGTAGAGCCATCATAGTTGTTCAAAGGTAGAGGTTTCTCCATCCCCTTAGGAATAAGGGCCTCCATAATGGCTCGGGACAGTGGACCGCGGGGGTCGTCTTCGTCGCTTCGGTCTGGGGATCGAGACAAGGAAGGATCAAAGAAATGGTCTCTACAACGTGGAGAATTCCTTGTCTGGGTTCTCTTTTCCTCCTCCTTACCTTTGTTCCTCTTATAAGCAGGGGATCATCGTTCTTTGCATGGTGGAGTATGATCGTGCTTCTTGAAGATTTCAGGTTGGGTCCTCTCCAGTTGAGGGCCTCGCCCAGTGCGACGAGGAGAGGAGTTGTGTGAGTCCTCCTATTGGTGTCTCCGCGGAGGGGATCGTGAACGGGTTTCACGTCGTCGTGGAGACGGGCTGCGTGGAACATGTCTTATGTGCCTCCTAGGGAAGCGTGGTTGGCGGTCTTTCTCCAGCATTCTGAGGCGTTCACCGTGCACGAAGATCATGTAATTGGTATGATTGATCACTACGAACAAGGCCTGGGTCGTAGGATCAACATTGGTGGGCATCGGGATTTCCTGATACGTCGTAGGTTCGTCGACGTGCCGATGAGGTTTGTCGAGCGGATGCGGGAGGGTGAAAGAAGAAGCATTCCTCCCGTCCATGTCGTCTTGCTCAGGAATGCCAATGTTGTTTGTTGCCAATGTTGGCGAAGTGAACATTCTGGTCACTGTTGTTGACTTGATCGGCCATGACGATCGGGAGGTTGAAAGTGTTTGCTTTGGTCTTAAGTTAGGAAAAGACGGGGAAGAAGTTAATTCTCACAGATGGCGCCACTGATCGTACCTGATCATAATGGATCATCGATGGTCCACAAGCTTGAACTGAACTACAGTTGAAGGTGAAGTGGGGGGTACCTTCAAGACACTTTGATGTCAATACAAGGTTTAGAGCAGAACGCAAGTAATGAAAGGATGTAGAATAATGTACCTGACTCTCTAGTGAAATATGGTATTTATAGCCCCCAGCGCGGGACCAAGGCCTTCATTATAGACTAAAGATCCAGGCCCATAACGAATGGCTGTCAGGATTCACGTGTGTGAAGTGGAGTAGCGTGTGCCCACGATCCTGGTTCAACTGCCCTGCCTTCTTCGGATAGTGGAGGACTAATTCTTCAGATGGCAAGAGATCCCATGATAGTTGGAGGGCAGTTGACCACGTGCTCATGGAGGCACATGGAGGAAACGCTCCCCAATGATTATGAGTTGGGCCATATCGTTGGGCCTTCTTCGAGAGAGCGTCGGACTGGGCCATGCCCTTCAGTGAGCCAAACGCAGGCCCAGTCTAGAACACTTAGTTGATGAACAATAGTTTGAGGATAGAGATAAAAGAAACGTCCTCCTCCTGCAAAATCCTTTGAGTTAGGTAGTATAATGCACAAATTTCAGTTTTTGGGCAAAAGAAACACAAGAAATTTGAAGATATTTAAGTGTTTGTTGTTGGATCTGATGCATTGATTTTTTCGTTTTGTTGGATTTGTTTATTATTCAAATCCCACATCGGAATTTTATCAAAATATATTTGTGTTTATATAGCTCAGTTATTCATGAACAATTGTAATATTTGTGTATTAATGCTTCAATCAAATGGACTCCAGAACCCAAAATATTTATTTTAAGGATTTTAATATTAATTAATTTCTAAAAATTTAATTTAGAAGTATTAATTTAAATTTAGTAAAAAAAAGTAATTAATAAATTATTAAAATATTAATTTATTCTATAAAAATATTAAATAATAAATTATTCAAACATCAATGACAAATCATTAAAATAATTTTCGTATCTTAATAATTACTACCACATATGTTAAAGTGGAAGGGACCAATAAAATCTCAAGAGATGCAAAATTGAGATCAAAAAGCTCAATTTTTGTAATATGAGACCAAAACTTTAAGAATACTTAAATAGGGGATTAAAAATGCAGTTAAGTCCACTTTTTTATAATAAAAATTTTTTTTTTTAATAGTACACTAAAAAAAACATTGGTGTATAAAACTCCTGTACATTGACAAGTAAAAAAAAAATACATTTGTATTTACAAACGTTTTTGTACCTTTACACATTGCAAAATTGAAATTTTCCTGTCTAATGACTATTGTACACAATTCAATTAGAAAACAAACAGTCTTCCGCCTTCATATTTCAATTGTCATTCCGCCATGTTGTTCTATGAAGTCAATCATCAAATTGATAGCTTCTTCGGTTCCCAAACGGTCAGGTCCAGATAAAATCTATAATAAAGTATACATTACATTACACATACAAGAAAGTATACATTACATTACACATAGAAGAAAGTATATTAATTCAAATAAATCCATATTTGAGAAAACAAAGAAAATTGGTCCAAAATAAAGAAATTCAAATAAATCCATATTTCTACTTACTTCTTTTACTATCGAAATAATCTCGGGAAGATTCTCATTGTTAGTTCCAAATAGGTATTTATCAGACCTGATCAATGCAGACAGGTTAAACATTTGTTTAGTCCAATACATGAACAAAAGTGTCAATATAATAGTAATTTGAAAGTTGTCTAAAGGAAAATTAAGAACACTTTAACACCTTTCTATCAATTTAGAAAGCAGTCCATGTGTATATCTAGCTTCATTGGAATCATGCTTTAATGGCAAGAAGCTTAACCATCTTTGAACCACCTGCTTAAAACCATTATGATTGAGGATAACAAACAAAAGGTGTGGCAAAAAGCTAGCTCTAGCAGCAAACATTGCATATCAACAGTTTACATCAGTGCGTTCTCCTTAGGGAACAGCTTTATACTCAAGGCTGACACGAGGGAATTGACTCCTCTTAAAGGTCTCCTCCCTAGTTTTGTGTCATAGGAACTCCTGTCCTTCCATTTGAGTAACTACTACCTTATCAGTTCTGTGGCTCACTGAACTTCTCTAGATGCTAGCACCATTGCACTTCCGGTTCCTCTATCTCTTCTAAATCAACTTTTAATCCTTCGGGTTGGGACACTTGTGGTGAGTAACCACCAACAATCTTCTTCAATTGTGATATGTGGAACACATGGTGAGCCAGAGAAGTATAGGGCAGTTTCGGTTTATAGGAAACTGCTCCAATTTTCTCCATGATATTAGAAGCCACAATACCTAGGAGCCAGGTTTTGATTGATTCGCCTCACAGCTTTCTGCTGCCTAAGTGACTTTGTTTCTATCTCTCTCTAAACCAATTAATATCTCTCATCTAAATAATCTCAATTTAATCATTACTCTCTCTCTTTAATAAACTAAGGTTACTGAAGTTACCAAATATCGAAGGTAAAGAATCTATTTTGTATTTACCTTAGGGTCTATACTGTCACCATGAAATTCACAGATTTTTCCAAGTGCTGCAACTGCGGTATCACATAACTTTGTTACATCTCCATCTTCATTTGGTTTACTAATTGGAAGACTTTTCGTCATTTCAACATATAGGTTATAGATACTGGCTGCAAGAAACCTATTATTAATTGTCATATTCGAAAAATATCAATACACAGATTTCCGCACTTCTAAGATGAAGAGTTAAAATAACCTTCCCAAAAAAGTTAGAGCTTAAAGAAGTTACCACCAACAAAGTCTTTAAATTGATCTCCTCCAAACATAGCACAAATACCAATCGCCAGTATAGCATGCTAGAATAATCATTACCAAAAAATTAATGATCATGTTTCGTATATACATAAGAAAAGAATCAAAATTATTGACAATTTTGAAAATACCAGCTTGGAACAAGGATAGTTTTTCCTTAAAGCAAAACTGGAGGCTGAATTATATCTGTCATGATACCTATTAAATAGCACCCACATAAACAAAATGTATAAATAAGAGAGACATTTATTATTATTGTTATAACTTTAGACGAAACTGATAAAATAAACGAATTACAGAGGCAATTTGTCTGGGAAAAGTGGAAAGATAACGTTAAAAATGGAAATTGCAAAAGCTATCAGTCTATCTGGATTGTCATCTGCCTGCCAAAGATCATGTTGAAGCAACAAATTAATGAGAAAAATAGCTGTAGCATAAGAAAAATAACAAAGGAGAACATACCAAAAGCACGACAACAATTGTCATGAGGTCATCAACATGTAGCATGAATCGGTCTTTAAATGTTTCAACAGTTGTTGCTATTAAGTGAACTATGTCCTGTGATAAGCAAAAAAGATGATTATAATTCCTATTCTGTAGATGAAAGTATATACAAAATGTATTACATTGTATAAATATTAAGCTCTATCAAACCTGAATATTACATAATAATGTGTCATTGATGTGAGTTTATAAATTGTTGGTTTAACTGTTTAAGTAATATTCAGGTTTAAAAAGTCACCTGATGTCTAATCACGAGAAAAAAACAAATTTACGTTCAATTGGTTGAGTAGTGTATGTTTAGTTTCACTTAGAAAACAAAATATACATTTTATCATTGTGTATTTTTTTCTTTAAATACTATGCACTATTTAGTATTACTAAATAACTATTTTATTTTTGGTATTTGTACTAACTAGTTATTGATTCTATCTTTCATATATAATATAATACATGTGTATTCAAAAGCAAGAGAATTTAAAGATACAACCTGAAGTGTATCTTCTGTTGGTAAAGATTCACATCTACCTCCCAAAGTTCCCACTCCTTGTTCTTTCATTATTCCAACTTTAATAATCTTTCGTACAGCATCTTTTATCTCGTCAGCAATAATCTTGATCAATGAATCATCGAAAAATGAACTAGAAGGCTGCATAATGAACACGTGTTACTATATGAAAATATATGATCCAAACATATTACCAATGTATATTTTGCAGAATTGTATTGTACCGGAATGCATTTGGCTAGTGACTTCAATATTATTGTAGTAAAAACCCTATCAGTTTCCTGCATTTGTTTTGAAATGACAAGAAATAAGTCGATGCATAAACTTGCAAATTAAGATGTTAGAGGGATAACCAAATACCTTCTTCAACATTTCAATCAGAGATCGCACAATGAAGAAAGTCAGATCACTTTTAGTGTAACTATCTGTGTCTCCAACTTTAAGTGAGAGTAACAGGTTTGGAAGACCTAGAAACAGAAAATGAATTAATTTATCAAAAATGTCTTAAACACAAATTTCAAGATTTTAAGCTGTACTCAAATAATTTAAATCTATATTCACCTAAAACAGAAGTCTTGCGAACTTGAAATTTAGAACAATCAGCCAAGCTCGCAAATAATATAGCGACCTAAACATTTAAATACATGTTTTATCAGTCACAAGTTTGTTTTTTAGGTAGACACCACTACATAAACCACAATCTTCAGATCTATCAAACCAACCTTGCTAATGTGGGGGGAAAAGTTTATATATGACCGAACAGCACAATATGACAAAGTATTACAAACCAGAACCATTGTGTTTTCAACCAAACGCTTCTCACGACCATCCTTGAGTTTTTCGACAGTTAAGTCAAGACAGAGTTGAGCAGATCCAAGCAACATTGGCATAATTTTATCAATAAATTTGTCAATATTCACTCTTGGGCATCGACAAATTTGATCTAGAGCCTGCACAATGTTAATATCTATTCAATTAGTAATACAAACTTTCAACTAGCATTATCATGTGAGGGAAGTAAATGGATGGCCTATCAATGATTTCAAATATACCTTTAAGATGATATATTTTGTCATGTGTTCAGTATTGCTCAATTTTCCTTCAAGTAATATTATAGATTCCATGACCTACAAATGGTACAAGATAAATAATTAGTACAAAAAAGAAATTATTTTAATAATATTTGACACCTTTATGATATATGAATTTGTCATGAATTCAATCAAATTTGGAATGATATATAGCAAGACCATAAGGTGCATCAAGCCTATTCGTGAACGGTCGCAAAAGTATTTGTGTGACCAATAAAATTAAATCTTTTATATTCCCCTTTTAACTTTGAATTTCTATTTATCTCAATTTTAACTTTGGTTTTCAATATTACATTCGATATAATTTGACCCAATTTAAAATAGAATTAGCAGAAATACTCACCTGAATAGCTTCTCGCTCATTGAAATTATCTGGCCCGACTTTCCTAACAAGATATACCATGCATTCTATAGATTTGGCAAAGACCAACAGTCTAGATAAACCATACTTATTAAACACAGTGACTTTCAGTCCTTCCATTGTTGTATCGTAATAATTTTGGCGAAAAGTTCTCTGCATGCAAAAATTACATATCAAATCACAGTAGGATAACTGTTTACCGCAATCAAAACCTACGACTTCGGATATTAATGTATACCGGCGTTAAAACTGCAAACAATCTCAGGGTATCAATAGCTTCCTCCTGTAACTTTGGATCTTCATGCTGAAAACTTAGAAAAACCATTTAGCTTATTGTAAGTAAATCAAATATAAGAAACCATAGAAAAATAACGGTTAATACTACACCAATACTATGTGTAAATCTGTAGAAGCAATCAAATGGATTATTTACAACAAGCAATGAATGCATATAAAAGCATAATACATGAGTAAATGAGAAGTTGACATATATATAGTGAAAATTAAGGACTACGTACATTAAGAAATGCATGTAATGATGCTACAATCGGTTCCCCAAAAGGTGACATTTCATCTAAGCCACATTTTTCTACCAAGGATCGAACGGCAATTACAGCATATCTCTGCAGAAATTAGTAAACAAAGGATATCATTTATAAAATAAGTCAATAGATAATTAGAAACATATAAATTGAAACAGCGAAAACAAGCAACTCTTTACTAACAGATGTCAAGCTGCGGCATTAATATTTTTTACCTGTACACGGGCACAATAGTAACATCTAATGAAGGGAACTAGTTTAGCAGATAACTTCTTGTGATTTCGGCCATTCATTAATAGCTCCTTATATTCAGTCAAACTATTAATTGCATGCATAGTAGCCCAAAGTACTCGGGAGTCCGGATCATCCAATGACTTAAAGACCAGTCTCACAATTTGGTCAAAGTACTGCACCATGTCCTGTGGTGGCAAAAGGGAAGAGATAATTATATATGAATGAAATTGTTAGCATCACAAATAACATGATATGCACGAAATCAACAAAAAATACTAGTAAAAATAAAAATCATTTTTTGGCACTGTGTACGCAGAAAAAAAACTCGCAGTTGCATAATGACACAACTTTAAGTAACCAATCAACTGAGTTACAAACTGAATATCTGATATCTTGTTTAATCCTTTAGATTTTAATTTGTTAAATGTTATTGACTGATAAGCGAAAGTGCGCATGGAATTAAATCATTTAAAATCAGGGGTGTCATTTAGATTTAGGCTTGTGTAAGAGAATCAAAATACAAAATGCAATACTTAATCTGCATCATACACAACCACACATCATGACACATACTGTAATTGCAGCCGCGGCATATCTGTTTTCCTTCTTCCTGCAGCCACATGGCAAGTCTCCAATTTTTCATAATATTAAGGATCACACAGCGCAATACGACTGAGACCAGATTCAAATCCTTGATCACAATGTACCCTAGTTCGCATGACAACAATAATGAAGGGGAAAAGAGTACAATTCTTCACTAGAAACACATAATGCTTCTCAAAACAATGTACTACAGAGCAGACATAGAAAAATTACATTAAATGATTGCACTTTCTATAAACTAATGCACCATCATGAAAACACTTGAGAGTTTAAAGCTCATTAAATAAAGATACATACCCCATTGATGTTTCTCTCTATGATCCAACCAATGGCAAGCATTGCTGCATGACGATGACGCCACTCAAAATGAGATGCATATTGCGTTGTTATCAACTCCATTGCTGTGGGAACAAACACACCTTCTTCCCCATCTAAAGAGAGTGAATCGAACAAGAAAATTCCATGGTAGAAAGGATCTGTCAACCCAGCATCATCACAATCCTTATTGTCAACATCATACCAAAGAGGATCATCATCAACACACGACAAAAAGTTTAAAGCAATCGCAAGCACCCTCTTCACTTCCTCATGAGAAAGATTCCTGATCACACTTACCATCACTTTCCCATCATTCTTATCAAGCTCCTTGATAACATTAACTGCAGCAAACACCAGTTCTTCGCTCACATTTTCTATCTCAGCTACTCGAAGCATGCACCAAAACACTTCACGATGTTTCCCCCTAAAAATATAATTATCTACCAGCGTTACTAAATCCCCCAAACGTTTAACCCTATCCTCGACAATCTCTTCTTCTCCATGTTGATCAATGATATTCAACAAAATTGGCAAGAGAACGTCACATATTTCTGTTCTCTGAAGACCCTTCGACAATATCATCAACGACGTCGCTGCATTGTAAGCCAATGTCTTCAATTCCCGATCCTCCGAGTAAACCAATGTCAAGATGTTTGAGAAGACGAGATCAAACCTCCCTTGATTCAACCAAAACTCTCTATTTAGAAAAACATTCGCTGAAACCTTCGTTAACAACATAAGCCCTTTCTTATTATTCGATTCCGTGTCTCCAGAAATGCAATCGCAAGCGTACTGGAGAAGCTCCTCCCAACTGCTGAGAGTAAATTGATGCAACCTGTCAGCGAAGATGCCAATCATTTCGCATAGCATAGGAAACACAATTTCTTCAGATTCTACCTCGAGTGAATGAAAAAGAGGGTTCTTGAGTTGAATCAGGATAGAGTAATGCATTGAACTGTTAGCCCCTTCGGGAAGAACTTCAAGGAGAAGAGCAACGGTTTGGATTCGCGTTCGAAGCGGAGGGTGGAGTTCCAGGATTTTAGCGAGCTTGAATGAGAATGAATTAGGGTAATGAAGTGCGAATGATTTGAAAATTGTCATTAACGTTTCTTTCTTGGTTTCTGTGTATTCTTCAATCGCTTCTTGCAGCGGAGAGAGGTCGTTGGATTCGAGTAACTTTTCTGAGTAGTGCTGAAGTTCCAAACCGTGGATGAGTGATTTGTCTTGGGCTTCTTCAATGCGCCTTCTCTTGAACACTCTTTCTTCCAAGTAGTTGCGCGCTGGCGAGTTTATCTCCGGCTCGAATGGGTCGCGTAGGGAAGATTCTGGCGGTGGTTGCAACGGAAACTTCTGAGTTGTGGCGGAGCTAGAGGTTGACGCCATTGTTGAGAAAGAGTTGAAACTTCAATGGCGGATTTTGGAGGGAAAAGTAATTGCAATTTGCAAGGGAATAGGTTTTTTCCGTTGTGACGGTTGTCCACGTCAGCGTATTCTCACGTTATAGGCTCACTCACTGTGATGAGCTTGGTTTGAAGCCCGTTACTTAGAAAAACCCCAACTATAAGAGGATTTAACTTGCGTGTTTCACTTGAACATGACACCCCCCAAATTCAATAAAAAGGTCATAATATTTTTGTAAAATTTTTTTTTGACCATTTTTAAAATTCACTCAAATCAAGCAGAAATTACAAAACCTCATGCGATACCGAAAATTTCGAGAACCTAATGGAAATTCTTGAAAAAATGAGTAATTTACCGATAAATTATGGAATTGTCGGAATTTTTTCTCGGAAATTTTAGAAAAGCCGGAAGTTTTTGCCGAAAAATTCTGAATTTTTTTTAATCCATTTGTATCAGAATTAACGTGTTAAAAAAAATGAAAATTTCCTGAAATTTCAGAATTTACAGTATGATACTTGAAAATCGGTCTTCATTCATTAATTTTTGTCAATTTTCCATTTTGTAATGAAGACCAGGGGGATGGACAGGACCATTGGAGGCAGGATCATTGATAAAGTTGCAGCCTGAGCTAGGGCTGCTGAGACAGAGTCTTCTCAACTACGGGATCGAAGAGTTTCTATAATCGGTTCTCACCGAAAACGGTTGGCTGAGCAAGCTCATGCCCAGTTCTGCGCACCCCAATCCCAAGAAGTTAGAGTTGATGATGAGGTTCTTGTTGATGATGTACATGTTATTGATGAGGTGCATGTTGTTGATGCGGTACTTTGTTGCTGATGTGGTACATGTTGCTGAGGAGCTGACCCTTTCAGATGTGGTACATGTTGTAGAGGAGGTGTCGGTTATAGATGCGGAGGTTCCTGATGGTGTGGTGGCTCCTACAGATCCTATTGTTGGTGATGATACTCCTACTAGTGATGATATAGACGTTACGACCTGTACTTCTATAGTGGCATTTGTTCACACTGATAAAGCATTCTCAAGAGGAACTAGTGATCGATCAATGCTCATCGAGTATGTTGACCATGTCACATATAAATTATGGAAGGGAGAGGTATATATATTTTATGTTTAAGTTCAATTTATTTATTATTATTATGTGATGTGTTGAAAGGTTACTGATAACTTTTTAACTTTGTTTGTTACATGACTGTCTTCCGCTGAAGGTGACATCCCATGGTTCAAAGATGAAGAACTTCCCATTGTTGCTCCGGTAAAGCGGCAAGCAAAAAGTAAGTTATTAATTTACCGAGTGATATAGCTTATATCATATTGTATCCACAGAGATTGATTATTGATTCGCCGTTCAACAAATTATTGTTAATGAGTTTGGGGGTTGAATGGGTTTGTAAAGAAAATGTTATTAACATAAATGAATTTAAACAAAAGCAAAACTATTAAGGAAGAACTTATCAGGTATGCATATATACTACTTCTCACTCACTTAAACCTATCGACCTGTTACACTCAACCTAACATTACTCATCAATGTCACTACGTATCACTCACAACCTAAGTCATTTCTAGCCCAATTTGAGAGGCATATTGCATCCCACAGGTAGCAATCTCTCAACCACTTCGACAACACAGAAGTCAATTGTGCTCGCATGTGTCGATGATCTCTCAGAACAACAGAGGCTTTAAGCTCGGATACCCAAGTAGATGTCAGTTCTAAATCTATCTCTAGAGTTCACAAACTAACAGATTAATCATCCTAGATAAGAATCTAAGCAGCGTGTCTATAACAACTTAAATCCCTAACACAGAGTAAAAACCAGGACAACAATCCATAAAGATTCGTAAAACAAGTTTTATATAACGCCAAGGGCGAGGGAGTCTTCTCAAATAGAATTTATTTATTGTTTATCAGGCGTTGGACACCTATCTTCAACAACAAGCAACAATTTGGTAGAGACGCATATAGGTGAAAACCTTCACCACAGCCCGGAAATAAACCGATTCGTAAGAGATTCTTCTTAACAACTGAAATAGGAGTAACTAATTCATCAACAGAAGAAATAAATAGGTCGTTATCAACAGTATTGACACCCTGGCCATGCTTGGGCATTGGTGCAGTTATCACATTAGGAGTTTCTAGAGGGTCAAATTCAATCTCTTTTGCCTCAATAAGATCTTGCACTTTGCTCTTCAGAGCCCAACAGTCATTTATATCATGCCCCGGACTATTGGAGTGGAAGGCACGTCGAGCATTTGGATTATAACAGGGAGATGCAGTATTTGGACTTTTAGGAGCCTCCCTCAGATGGACCAGATTGGACATGTTAAGCCGGGTGAACTTCTTTCTGGGCGCATCCTGCCTGCGCTGATTGTTTTGTTGTTGATTTGGTGCAGGGCTAGAGATCATCACAGCTCCTACCGTTGGATGACGTTCAGCTTTGCTTTGATTCCTCTGACCATAGGCAACACTTACTTCTTTCTTCCCAGAGAATAGTTTCTTCATTGTACTCGAAGATGCATCTCTCTGAATCTTACCACTCTTGATACCAGCTTCTACTCGTTCACCAGTCAATATCAGCTCAGTAAACCTAACTGAAGAACTTCCAATCAGATGGTTGAAAAATGGACCAGGCAAAGTATCCAAGAACATATCTACCAGCTCTCTATCAGACAGAGAAGGTTGGACTCTTCCTGCAAGATCTTTCCACTTTTGGGCGTAATCTTTGAAGCCCTCGCTAGAATCCATAGACATGCTTTAAATTTGAGTATGGGTTGGAGCGAGGTCAACATTGTATTGGTACTTCCGGTAGAAAGCAACAGCCAGATCCTCCCAGTTGCGGACATTGGTTCCCTCCAGCATATAGAACCATTCCAATTGAGTCCCCGATAATCTCTCCTTGAATAAATGCACCCACAAATTCCTATAAGCTGTGTGAGGTTGGATCTTCCTGACATAAGACCTCAGATGCAGCTTAGGACATGAAACCCTGTCATATTTAGTAAATGTGGGAACCTTGAACTTCTGCGAAATGACCACTCCATAAACCATCCCTAATTCTTCAAAATCCAGACCAGGTACCCTCTGAATTTCCATGGCATTGAGACAATCTCCAGCTGTTTGTATTTGTCATCAACTGGAGGATATTGATCTTCAGTATAACCAGCCTCTTCTTCATCGGACTCTGGGCTGTGATCTTCTTCTTTTGGCTTCTCCTCTTGATTGTCCCCCTCATTTGACGGAGTTGCGAATTCTAGAGCTTACTTTGTTGGTCCTCTGAATCTCCTTCCCATGTTCAGGACACAAACTGGTTTCTTGGCCTTTTTCTTCTTGTCTTTGAGAATGAGAGCCTTCAAGTCTTCTTGCCCCTTATCCAGAGCAAGGAACATCTGCTGGAATTGAGCATTTTGGGCTTGAAGGTCCTTGATATTCTGTTCGAGAGCCATTTATTTTTTCCTAAATAAACATCGAAAAGATAAGAAACATGTCCTGAAACCTGTTTATGTGATGATATACATGATACGCTTATGCAATGTTTTCAAGGACCTTATAGGATTTAAATTTTCTTAGACAAAAAGGAAACAAAAATTAATTGCATTAATAAATTTAAACGGTTACAACCATGCCTCTTGGGCTTGCAATGTAAGAAACACAAATAATACAAAATAAAACTCCTAAAACAGAAAGGAATCATGCTTCCCATGAGCGTATCCTCTTCGATGTAATATAGGCATTCAAACTCTGCTCTTCATGAAGTTGTCTTGTGAGTTCCAAAACCTTCTTATCACTTGCGTAGAACTATTTTTCAAAGGTGTCTCGTTCCTCTTTTAGTTGAATCCAAGATCTTTGAAACTCCTCGAGAGTAGTCGGCATGTGAGGATGGAGAATAATGTAAGGAACATCTCTCTCGGTAATAGGCTCCATGATGATAGGTAGGATGGTCTCATAAGGCATCATGAGATTCTGAGTGCATGCTCACACCCACTTAAGATAAGGCTCCAAAGGAATGGAGTTCTTATGCCCCAATGTCTTGCTATCAACTTTGTTCACCATGCCCCAAGCTCGTATGAATCTATGACGATAACCTTGGACGTCGTTCTCATAGTCGAATGCAATTCTTTGGACAAGTGCATCATGAGGATCACCCCTTCTGGCATACCCAAACTATCGCAATGCCAAACAATGGTTGTAAGTGATTCCTCCTCTAATGCCTAGGATATGGACATTAGGGAATTCCCCACAGCAATCAATGATGGTAACATCCTCCAAAGATCGAGGACAGCAATGAATATCCCAATGCGTGAGGGACATCAACCTATTAGACCATCTCATGCCTTGCTCATTGTAGGTGTTTAGGTATTGGCTTGCATTTTTGGTAAATCCCAAGTGTATGTGTGAATGTCATGACTGATGTCATAACATTCTAGTTCAGTTTGTACTGACTCATTAGGTACCTTTGTAGAAAAATATTGTAATTCAAGTACTGATGTTTATAAGTGTGTATCTGAGCATTTTGCAAAATGATCACATTTTTCTAAATCAGTAGACAGGTTTTCTCAGATGTCATAACAGATGTTATGACATCCTGTTCTGAACTAACAGGTTTGCAGGTTGGATAAGTCTGAGTTTTTTCAGGAAAATAACTCAGTCTTTCCTGAACAGAATCCTGCGTTTTCTGAGGGGTAACCTAGCTCAACCCTAACCTGGTTAATAAAGCCCTGTGACCTGGTCTTTAGGTCAAACGGAATTAACCCTAGGTTTTTGTGGAAACCCTAACTGAAGTTGCAGCTGCTATATATTCAACAGAGCTGCTGTTTTTCAAGGCATCCCTTTTATTGATCAGAAGATCATTTGTAATCTGTATAGATTTGATTATTGTACTCCAAGCAATTATCATTGAGATAAGTGACTTGGAATAAGTTTCGAATTGTAAGGGCTGTGTAGCACTCAAAGCTTTGAAGCAAGAGTG